AAGCAAAAATACATTACCTGTGGCTTACTGGGAAGCACCGAGTTTCTGATTTCTGGCTGCCAAGGACTCTTGTTGACCGCACCGACTTGGAAGGATTGGGTTTTCTGGTTGCCTTTGAGTTGTTTTTTGGAGTTGGCAGCACCCAGCAGAGCCTTCCATTGAATTTCCGCGGTGAGACAGGCAAAAAGACATGCCGACGCTCCGCGTCGTTCTTGGCCGGGGCCCTGAAATCCACAGATCTGCTCTGCGCAAAGGAGTGCTCCAAGCAAGCTGCAGGTGTAGCATTTTGGAAGACTTGCCCAAGCGACCTGGAAATAGAAGCTTAATCTAAAGGACCTTTGCTAAAACTGGTTAAATAAGGGGCCCTCATACTGCAAGTGAATCAACATGCAGCCAGAATTCGGAAGAGAGCGATAAATTGCATACAGGGCGTTCCTTGATTTTTGAACATATTCAGGCCATTCATGCCCTCTAGTCAGTCCAGACGCTCCGGACACCGCGATTCACGCCACGATGTTGGCGATTCATGCCCCACAGGCGATTGGGCGATACCTCTGAACTGTGCTCGTTCTAGCACTTGCAAATATACAAAAAGAGTCCCTCGATTCAAAACCTCCATATATGGGCGAGACTTGGACTTTTTGCAACAAGTTGACATGTTCCTGGTTAAATACTAAAAGGACAAAAGGGCAAACAAAAAATGTAAAGCCTGGCAATGTGCTAGCGTAAGCTGTGCAACTTGTACCAGTACCAATGGGCTCGCTATGACAGGTGCAGTTCGGAGCTTATACTGCACCCAAAAAATCCAGTTACTCCCATACACCAGTGCGATTTTCAGGGCGACCGAATCCATCATAACCCGAAAACCAGATTTCTCTTGACCTAAGTTTGAGGTTTTATGTTCATTAGAGTAACCTTGGTTCCAGGGAAAAATGGTTCAATGGATTCCACCTGATGAAAGTCGCTGTTCATGGTGAATTCAAATTGCCATCTTTGTCATTAACTGCTTTTCTTTGTGGGGGGGGATTCCGAGGGGAACCTCTTGCACCTTCTTTGCCCAGGCCGCACAAGACGTGGCGCAAATGGGCGCCTTGCAGGAAGATGAGCGGCTCGGGAAGATGCTCAGGGCTGCTGTGCTATGCCCGCCTCAGGCAAGACTCCGACTCGGGCATCAAGAAAATGGAAGTCTTGGCATAGCCAAAGCCGAAGACCCGGCTAAACTGGGATTTGCTCTGAACTCAGATATTGATCATACAAAAAAATATGGTTCAGGTGAAACCCGGCTGCCCCAAGGAAGCTGGAGTGTTGGTGGCAAAGGAAGCTGGAGTTTTGGTGGCAAGAACCTGCTTTATTTGTGTTCATTTCTCAGCGTGACACGGAGCTGAGAACTTCCTATTCCGTATCCATCATTGCTCGTTTCCCCTCTTTAAATGAACATGGAACGGATCGACATGAACGGACCAGGTTTCGTGTGGAACTCCAATTCACCAAAGGGTCTCCGAAGAACCTTCATGGGATTTGGCAAACCAAAACTTGGAACCCCTCTATGCTGCGAGGCCACTGACACGTTCTCCAGGAAGCAAAGCAGCTGGAAGAGCGTCAACAGCTCGGGCGCCTGGCCACGGATCCTCCAACCGAGGAAGTTGGGAGCTTCTCGACTCATGGCGGACCTCTTGGCCAGGGTTGAGGGTCGGAGTGGATGATGTCCAAATGGTGGACCGCCTTTCAGTGGCAGTTGATGGGACACCAAAAGGACGCGTTAAACACTTAGGGGACCCCTATTTTGAGAACAGCCTTTTTGAGGCCGGAGTTGGCAAGGGGCAGAATATGAGAAAATCAAAACAAGGAAGCCTTTCGGGGGCCAACGGCTCATGGAGAACCCACTGACTAAATCAAAGGTATGTCAGGCTCCCTCAGACCAGCGTGGTTTGGCTTGGTGTTCTGCGGCTTCTCTCTACCAGAACCAGGGCTTCAAATCCAAACCACCCGGGATCCACGCCATCATGGGCTGATTTGGGCTCCTTCCCCCCTCCCCTCCCTTCCCCGGCTTTGTGGAACTAAGCCTTACCTGAAGTGAGAAGTTGGTGACGATGTTGGGGGCTTCACCTCGGTTTACGTATCACCAACCAGCAAACTCACCCATGTTGGGACCGAGCCCTCCGCCCATTTTGACACTCCCAAACCGTTGCAAATTTTGCAGATATCCTCGAAAAAAACAACTGGTAAAAGGGGGCATGTAACATCTAAGCCCCCCCCCCGCTAAAAAAAAGAGTGTATGTTCCTGTTCCCCTCCCCCCCCCCCCCCCAAATATTATATATATATATATATCAATATATGTAATAATGTAATATGCATTATTATTTTTATATAAGTGCGTTTCCTGTTGGTCAAAAAGCAACAAAAAACACGCTTTCCTCTTGGCCTCCGGTTCTCTTTACACCCCAAACTCCGCTTCTCTCGCGTCGCTCGCCTTCTCGGCGCCCAGGACGCTGCAGACTCTCCGCTGCAACTCCTCGGGGCTCACCTGGCGGCCGGATTTTTCGCGCGGCCCCCGGAGTTGTAGAAGCTGAGTTGGCTGTCCCATATTCATCAACGGGACCCCTGCTTATTCATAGGGGGTGGTTTTGGCGTTTGGCCCCTCCAAAAAAAAAGTCTGATGCCCCACGAAACCCAGGGACACGGCCCTATATGGCCATGGGTCAAAATCCACATCGTACCCCCCCAGTGAACATCCCAATCCAACCACTAAAACAGGTTCCAAAATGGGTGGCGAAGCCACATACCAACCAAAATGCGAACCCCAAAACGGTTTTGACCCACATATGTAGAAGCCTATTTTTTGCGGCGGATGGCTGCGAAATCCGGGAATCGCACTTAAGAAACCATTCATAACCATGGTTGACACCACATGGTTTAAGTTAATTTATGTTTGTATTTACGTCGGGGAATTGAATCATTCCAGGGATTCTTAGGTGGTGCATCCTATATTGACTTGCTCTTGGGCTGAGAACAATATTTATTCATGTCGTGAATCTATTCACAAGGGGAAGGGGATGGACGACATACGAGTTGCGGTCAACAACCTTTGATGGGACAAGTTGGGCTCCTCGTGGGAGTTTTGTGGTTTCTGTCTTCATTCTGTCTTCTAGGAATTCCCTTGGCCACTGGCCAAGCATTCAAAAATCCTGATGTCCGCTGGATTCTTCGCTGCGTTCAGAGGTGTCGTCGAGCTCAAGAGCTCTCTCATCGCACTCGTGCGAGGTGGCCCTTTTCCCGTTTCAACTGTTGTCTAGCACCCCATCGAGAACCATGCTGATGAATTGTGAGCCCCTTCTGTCCCAAACCAAACAGACCCCCAACAAAGGACCATGGTGACCATGGTGTGGTTCCCTTAGTGGCAATCCTTTTGCGGTTGTCCAAATTACCGTGACCGTCCGCAAGGCGTGTGTTGACCACATGGATACAGAGAAGCAAAGTAGGCCCTCTTTGGTCCGAGAGGCTCAACAAAAAGTTGAAGTTTGTTGGGATTCCACGTGTATTCCTGGTTCAAATCCCATGTTCCGCCCCCGACAGCTGCTAACCTTACATCAACCCCAAACATACCCTATGGAACCTGAGAGGGCCTGGAAGACCAGGTTCCTTTGAAACGGACCTGGTGGGTTCCATGGCACCGTGGACAGGAGGGCAACTCTTAACATCACCCTGTACTCTAAGGGACTCGAGGGGTCCGTCCAAAACTGGGTGGCACCCCTTTCTTTGACGGCCTCGCAGGGAAGCCAACCGGACCTTGGGCCAATTTGGGGGCTCCATGTCTCAAAACACCCGGGGCATCCTGAACATTAGCGACTGTAAAGGGTGGCTGGAAGGGGACGACCCCAAACAGTCAGATGTGTTGTGAGGACTAGTCTGAGAACGCTTCTCGACTTTAAGGAACCCAGCCGCCAGATCTCGACCTGAAGTGAACGAGTTGAGGGAAATTCCAAAGGGATACCCCAATTGAGACCAGTAGCCTTGCAAGCCTGGCAAGGGCTCCAAACCCCAAAACGGATCTGGCTGGTTGCTTGGTTTTCTTCTAACTAGGTCCTCCAGTAGAGAGGTTTAGAATGAGGGTACCCATTTTCTGTTGTCTATTTTCGTAGGGGAACCCTCCCCCAGAAAATGGTAAAAGGGCACTACTGGGGGACCTAGCTAATAAGGACGTCCAAACAAACATCTTCCATGGTTTTTGTTCACTGCCTTGCGTCTGGCAACACAAAAAGCCCCGACTCAAACGAAGAAACGTCCATGCGCGCCTCCCCCGAAGCGCACACCAGCGCGTGGACTCTTCGGAACTCGTCCTGAGAAAGGCCACTGGCGAGGTTTCCTTAAGATCGACCGAGAGTTCTGAGATTCTCACTGACTCCTTAGGGACAAATCCCTGAAACCTCTCTCCTATCCCAGAACCACCAAGGATTGATCCTATAGTGACCCCATACCCGTCGTTAGGGCTCAAGAAAAACGGTGGACAAGCAGATTCTATTGACAAGAGAGTGGATTTCCCTCTCTCACTTCGCAAGATCATTCCCGTCGTTCCAGGTAGGACATGGTAGGACACCGATGGCGGAAATGGGGGTTTCTCAAAATGGTGGACCCCCTTTTCGTTTGTATGTGAAGGAAACTGAAACGAAACCGACCACCGAGAGGGGTCCTAACTTTGAGAAACATCCGTAAGGGATCGTAAGGGTGTGTCTAAAAATAGGGGAACCCCAAATTTGGCTTCGGTTTGCCGTTGGGTTTCCCTTAAATCAGCCTCAACACAGGGTGCGCTCGACTAAAAGACAGACCCATATTTGTTGAGGGAGGGGGGCTTTGCCCATTTGCTCTCGCCCATTTGCCCACTGCCTGGTCGCAAAATTGGAGCTCAACTTGATGTCCTCAAAACGGGAAGGGGCATTGGTGTCAAGATGCCAATTTCGATCAGTGGGTTGATGAAACGACATATGGCTGTGGGTCAAACATATGTACCTAAAATGGAATCCTGGTTAATGGAAACATGGACTGCAACCTGCTGTCCCCTGGTGGTTTAATTTTGACCCATACCCATATCACTGAGGGGATGCGGCGCATATTGCCTTAATCCCCTTATAAAAGTGCGTGTTCTTTTAACAACAAATTGCTTTGGGGTGCTTGATTGGCACATCGCGGCAAAAATGCTTCGCATGTCCTTCAATACTCCCTCCCCCTTGCCGTCATCAGCAGCACGTTTGGCCAAACTTTGGAACCAGAAAGTTGGTGTTAAAAGGGGACCATGAATGAAACCCAAAAGGCTGGAGAAGAAAACACACTCAGCCTGGCAATGAAAAGGGGATTCATCCGCATGTTTGACAATCGTTCCGAGACCTGAAACAAGGAATCCCGAAGCAAAGGATCTTCGTGATGGCGGGCTCGTTTTATTCCCAGGTGAGCTCACTCTTTGCATTAAAACGCCTTGCACCCCTTCTGTCACCAAAAGCCGGCCTCCGGCATCTGGCTCCGCAGGTACTCTCTCAGGGAGTCGGCCTGCGAGTCTTGAGCTGTGTGCTTCTGGGAAATGGCTGGGCTTTGTGTGGGACATGTGCAAGTCTTCCTGCTTTTTGTAGGAAATTGAAATGGGTGGTCTTGACCAAATGTTTGTGGAGAATCCTCGAGCTAACAATCGACTGCCTGTATTTTGGCCGGAAAGACAGCCCTTGCAAAGCCGCCGTGTATGGAAACGGGAAGCGCATCAAAAGGCTGGGGGGGGGGGGGTGAAAAGGAAGGAGACGCCGCACCTCTTGATGTTCAAAGGGGGCAAGCCCCACTGAACTGCTGTGTTCAAGGCAAAAATCATCACCCTCGGGCGGACATTAAAAAAACACGGCCACATTTCAAGGAATGTTTTCATGGGCCAAAGGAGCGCACCCCTGACAGGATGTGTTCAAAGGGAGCAATGTTCAAGGGGCTCACTTGATAAATGTTGTTCAAGGGCGAAGCATCCCGGTGAAATCTTTCAAGGGTGGTTTCAGATTCAAGGGCAAAAGGATTCACCCATGGTTAAAGGATGTTGTTGAAGTCTAAAAACCAGACATCTTGAAAGCGGATACCTTCAAGGGAACAAGAAGCCCAGCAAAAACAGATGCTTACATGAGGACCCCGTGTTTTAATGGCAAGAATATAACGTTCCTGTTTATCAATGATTTCAAGGACACAAAGACATACCCCCACTTAAAGTGTGCTGTTCAAGGGAACGATCTGAGTGAAAGGCCCACCTTGGATTATTCCAAAGGCAACCAACGCCTGGGACAATTGTCCGACTCCGGCGCCCGATCATGTGTCCGAAGGACAAGGCAATCATCTTAGCCAAGCCCAACGACCCCTACGAAATGTGAAACTCTTTTTTTGGTTCACGGGAAAATACTGGAAACCCGGGAGGTTTCAAAATTCAAGGCTTGAAAGAAGGCTAGCTTCTTGCATGTACGCCTTTCGTTGAGTGATTTGCGGTGAAGGACGCGCATGAACCTGCGAAAACTGTGGGAGCCGGCAGTGGGCTGCCTATTTTCACAGGGGAGCCTTTGAACTGGCGTGTTTGCTTCCAAAGACATCGGGGGATTCTCAAGTGAAGGAAACACCAAGTGGCCCCATAGCGCGGCTTTGAAGGGAAACCGGAAGGGGGATTGGGGGTCCCAAAATGAAACACACGCGCACACACGACGTGGGGAAATGGCAGACGCACGCCTTGGCAGCGTAGCTAGCAGCTTTCGCCTGCGCCAAGCTGGTGCCAAATAGGGGGCACTCACAAATGGGAAACATACCCGGACATATTCTTTTCAACCACCGTTCTTTTCAAAAACCAGCTGTTTCCCCTGCGATTCTGATGGTTTTCTGAAAAGAAGGATCCCTGCAAAGAATGGGGAAGTGTCCAGTAGAATACCCATCCCCGCCCATGGTGCAGCTGTTGAACCACCCTCCGTTTGGTTTCCCGGCGACGTCAGATTGGCCAACCCTGAAAGACAAGTTTTGACTCGCACCTCATGCCCCCTGGTCTTGGAAGGGAAGAAAATGCTGCATTTGGTCTAAAAACACATTTTTGGGCTTCATGGTGATTTGCGGGGAGTATCTAGAATCTACATGTCTTACAAAGGGGAACATTGAACTTCTTTTATGTTCAAACTACTTAGCTTGTAGTCGTGATCAAAAGTGGGGCAACAGGAGTTCATAGTTCTCATCCGAACATCCCAAGGGCCAGGCAGACATATATCATCCATACCATCCCCCAAATCTGAACTTTTGCAGATAAAATATCATGACAAGAACAAACTATGCAGGGCCCGGTCACTCGGTCGGAAGGGTCGAAAGTTGGCTCCTGGAAAAGGGAAACAAAAGGACAAAGTAAATACTTGCTGTTCCGCTAGGCAGGGAATGAGAGCACAACCCCGAGACAAACCACCCTCTGCGGTTTCCTTCCAGGGAATCCCTATGTTCGGTTCATTCCCTGAGCACCAGCCAGATGACATGTTTGGTTCAAAGGGCAACCACGAAACCGAAGCCCATGTTTGGTTTGCCTCTAAATCAAAACCCTTTTTACAGGCATCCATTCTTGGGTTAATCCCCATGACACATTGTGTCAATTTTTGAGGGTACCAAAGCGAACCAAAGCAAAGCCGTTGCGCCATGGCCTCAAAGAAGGAGATCCGCCCACATCCCCACATACCCGCATGCCAAACCCTCCGCTCGACGTTCGGCGCCTCTGCGCCGGGATCTCAGTGCGAAAGATCGGATCCGGATCCGATTTGGGGTCCCAAGGTGACACCAGAACTCACCCAACTCACTCTAACTCACTCCAACTCAGTCCAACTCACCCACCTACCCCCCCGGGCAATTGGGAACGTGCTCTATTTTTGAGGGGGCTCGTTTTGGTGTGGTTTGAAGGGAAACAAAACGAAGGAAAACATGCCGAATCGCCCTCTTCCTCGAATGCTGGGTTGTCAGTTCCATGTTCTGGAGAGCAACACGTGTCCAGGAACCAGGACCCCCAGTGGCAGCCAGCGACACAGTGACCCTAGGTAGAAGGGAGTCTCTTCTGCGGTTCATCACAATTTGTGTGATGATTTGGTGAAGCGAACCAAAGAACAATGGGATTCAGAGGCCAGCAAATAGCTGGCCTTTCCCTCACCCCATCCCACCCGGTGTGAAGCTGACATGGATAAGCAAATTAACCGACCCAGTGCATCCAGTGACCTGCAGAGTAGGTACTCAAAGGAACCACCCTTAAAGAACCAACGGAAAATAGCTGATTGCCTACCATCAGGATACCTGTGATCCACGGGGCAACAAACAAATCGGCTGGCAGGTCACAAGATGCCCAGGCCGTACTTACGTAAGCCTATACTTACAACAGCTTTTAAGGGAGCAACTAGTAATCACTTAGTGTCACAGCTTGGCTAACTCTCTCACCAGCTACGTACCAAATCGCATTGGTGAACTGTCAACCTAAACTGCTCCCTCATCTTTTTTGAAATCTGAGAGCCTGTGAGGTCTTTTTGCTCGTGGCTTGCGATCGACCCTTTTTTGCACAACAACTGGAGGGGTCCTTGCCATTGATTCGGCTTCAGACCCATCCCCCAATATGTTTATTTGGCACGTCTTTATTGTTTACCCAAAACGGGTTGCCCTGGTAGTTGGAAACCAGGAGTAAACCTGCGGTCCATATCCTGGTTTAACTTTGACCCAAACCCATTCAGCATTTACCCATGAAAACGAAAACACATGTCAGCAGGAACACGAGTAGACGCCTTTGGCCGATTTCGCTTGCCCTTGCCTAAAGCAGCTGCTGCAACATGATCCTTCCGGTCATCACGCAGCACGAAATCAGCTCCTGGGTCCGCAAGAGCCCTAGACAGGCTGCGGCAATACTCCACGGAGCACCCCCGTCCAAGCCCACACAGACAGCTTCAGCGATGATAGGGGCAGAGTCGCTCTGTCTCTGTCTCGGTCTTGACATTCAACCAGCAGGTATGTCAGAACCTTGGATATGACAAAACCGACCAAGTAAAGTAGTTCGACATCTAACCTACCTCATAACTGCGGGGGTTCAACAATGGTTCTTTGCTACCCCACTAGACATGGCTAGTGGAAGAAACCTATTCAGTAGGTTCAATCAATGGTTAAGTTATGAGGGATCGACATAAGTGAGGGAAAGCCAGGCAAACCAAACTACCAAGCGCATGTTGGATCGGGTCCATTTTACGGGGAGTCCTTCAGTGAGGGAAACACCCCCATTGATTTGTGAGTCACATATCCATCACCACAGGTTTGCCAAATCCTTCAGTGCGTTGTGCCCCCTCTCCAGGCAAAAAAACTTGCGGACGCACTCAGTCTCCTGAGTTCACGAGGCTTTGATCTAGGTCCAATGCCATTTGCAGTACTGATGTACCAAGCAACCACACCTACGATTCCAGCCCTTGCCAAAGGATGGGGTTAATGTCAACAGCTTCATAAAGCTGTGGTTGCAAAACTTGGGAAAGGGGGCTCGTGTAGAGGATCCAATTCACTTCCCCTCTACTAATCCACCAGTTTGAGGGCTCGACAAAGCCGAAAGGTATCTGGTGAACAAAACCTGCCACTGAAACAAAGGACCTGAAGGGACAAACGACGATTTCACCTATTTGGGTTGGATCAGGGGTTTCCAAAAGGAAAACCCACAAGTTTTGCTTTGGAGGGGGGGTTCTTTTGGGGGGTCCACTCAAAGACAGACCATGGGACACTTGGGACCCTTGGTGGGTCACTGACCCACCCTCCCGATCTCTCGGGCTGCTGGCCCGGAGCTTCTCTGGCCTGAGGGGCACCCGGGGAAACACCGATCGGACTGATACGTTGGTGGGTGGGTGGGTGGGCGGGTGGGTGGTGGGTTGGTGGGTTGGGACACGTCTGTGTGTTTGTTGGTTGGTGGGTTGGTGGGTGGGTTGGTTTGGTTGGTTTGTTGGTTTGCTCTTTCAGGATACCCCTTTGTCCCTCGTCTAAAGAGAAACCTAATCATCATGTTGGGCCCCCCCTGGCCCATACTCGGTTTCTAGTTGCAAAGTGAACGGGTGTTGGCAAAAGCAACAGCAGCCGGGGTGGGCTGAGGGCTGTCGTCGGGGCCATGATGCATTGATTTGATTGGAGGGGTCACCTCAATCGTTTCAACCTGATCCAAAATTACTAAACTAGATGCAACAATTTCAACAGCTCCTCAGCATTGGTCTACAAATGAACGCTCTCTCTCTCTCTCTCTCACTTTTTCTCTCTGTTCCGTTCATAGTTTCCCCAACGGCATGCCGAGAGGATCCGGTGCTTTTGGGAAGCATTTCCAGTCCGCGAGGTGAGCCAGCACTGGATTTCTGTTGAACCCACCTTGCACCCTATTCATCTTCATGAGTCACAATCAAAACATGGCACAAAAAAGTCCATCCGATAGGTGGCGCGAACTGGTTTTCGTGCATCCACAGGACCAAACCATTTTTCCTTGCCGTCGAAACGGCCGCAGGTTGTCACAGTGTTTTCGGGATTCCCCAGGTTGCCAAAGGGTAATCACGCAAAGATTCCATCCCTCTCTGATTCTACGTCTTTTGAATGGAATCTGATTGTGGCTTACCTTGACTCCGGCATCAAAGCCGTGGCCGAAAGAGCCGAGCTCTGGGCGGGCGCGGCGCTGTTGCCTTGCCATGTCGGGCTGAACTTCTAACGACGGAGTGTGGCTGAAACCACTGCTTGGTGGTTTGGTTGGTGCTTTGAAGGTTTGAATTTTGGTGATTTTGGTGGTTTTGGTTGGTGCTTGGAGATTCAGCAAAAACCCGGGGTCCGCATTCCCAAGCCAATCCAACGCACCAAGTCGGGTCTTCCTGAATGTCATCCTTTCTTGGCTGCTGCTGACCCCTCTTCAAAATCGACAAACCTTTTGCGGGTTAATTGAATGGACAGCGCACTTCATTCCCCAGAACCCCAAGAAGGTCATTCCTTTTCGCGCCAAGGTAGCTTGCCCAACCCCATCGTGCTTTCCGCACTGCAATGGTCAAACTGTGTGCCTTCAGGTGAGCATGAGTGTGCTCAGCTGGGAGGCTAACGGCAGGCCACCAAAGAAAACAGGCCTCCTTATACGTTGGAGACAACCAGTGCTGGTCAACTCAAATAAAACGGGCCTGGTAAAGTAGGTGGCAAATTGCCATCAGATTTCTTCAAACTGCCATTACTGCCATTTGGAACATAATTTTGAGGATGTCACTTTAAGGCCTCCAGGCAAGCAGCCGTCCCCAAAAGCCGCGTCCAGAAAAAAAAATAAGCTCAGGTGATATCCCCAACAGCATGCGGTGCTCTTTTTGGTGCTTGCACCACCCCGCAGCTCCCGCAGCCCTCACAGAACCTTGTGGAACCCTCGTGGAACCCTCGTGGAACCTTACCTCAGGGCCGCCAAAGACCACCCCGGAGCCAATCTGGGCTGAGACCCCAAAGCTTCCAGCTGTTGGGGGAAAAGGAAAAAAAACGCGGGCCATGTCGGAACGGACCAGTGACCTTGGCAAGACTTTGACCCCCTCCGAAATGGCTTCAGTCTTCCTGTTGGTTTCCCTTCAGAACCCTACAAAAGGGGTTCCCTCAAAAGAAGACGAGCCACCCCCACTTTTTTTTGGAGCCCTTGGGCCAAAACAAAGAACGACGGCCAGGTCTGTTTGATCAGCTGAACCCGAGTCGAGATGTCAGGCTCCCGGCCGATCTTCAGATTGGCCACGCTCGCCCTGAGTGCTGGTCATAAATGCATCAGGTGGTTAGTTTCAGGATTTCGTCCAGTACTTCACACATTGAGACACTTCGCTCGCGAACTTCACGGCTCCAGCTTGGAATACGTGCACACATGCGGCGGAACTCCTTTTGGCCGTGGTGAAGCCCAGCAAGCCAGCGCCAAAGGGAGCCTCTCCCTCTGGAAACTCTGCGCGCTTCTTGGTTGTACATTCTGTTCCATTTACCCATGGAAAAGACATGTCCAAACAATGTCCAAACAAAGGCACCCTTAGTGGATGGGCGCCGCTATCTATAAAGAAAATAGAGGGTGCCTTCCGCTTTCCTTTTGGGAAAGTCTAGAATTAGAACAATGCCCTAGATTTGCGATGGCCGCGGGGAAAAGAATGCACGCAAGTTAACTTTGAAGGGAATGGAGCACTTTGCTACAACCAACACGTCCCCTGCAAATCAACACGGAGCCCAAAGGGGTGGTTCCCCAAAATAAAGCAGAGCAGGCTCTCGTGCTCCGCGTTGATCTGAAAACAAGGCACTGGAGACCTTGGCATTCCCCCCGCCTGAGCTCCTTCTGCGGGTGTGGCACCTCGCCCTGCGATCGAACAGCCCATAGGGTGCGGGCAAGTTGACTTTGCTTCTTACTGAAGTTTCTGGCGTGCGACCGTTTCAGCAGTTTGCCAACTCAGGAGGTGAATTTATTTCTACATGGAAAAAACAAACGATGATCGCCTAGCTTAGGTTGCTACAAGTTGCTCAGAGTTGGGATCATGAGCAGTGGATTTCCTTCTGGTGTGTGCTTACAGGGGGCAAGAACGGGGAGGGAGTGGGTTCACATGGACCAACGTCCCCCTTCAGAGCTTCAAAGACTCAGGCTAGTCTCCTTTTCTCCTCTTTTTGGGACCAAAGGAAACCACGGCATCCTTTTTGCACCCGAGTGTTGAGCATCACACGCCGCGAGTAAGGGATTGCTGATTTCGAGCGTCGACCAATCCGGTTCAGGGAGCCGCCAAGCAACACCAATTCCCCGACTTTGAGCAACTCCTAGGTCCTCCGGTAGAGAGGTTCGAATAAGTTGGTACCAACTTCTTTCTGTAGTCTACTTTAGTAGGGACACGCACCCTCCCCCAAAAAAGTTGGTGAAAGGGCCATTGTTGGGGGACCTAGACTCGGACGCGTCCAGCCCCAGAGGCCGACCCAACCCCCCGGCCTCGGAGCCGGAGTAGTCCTCGAACTCCTCCTCGTACTCCTGGAAGAATATTTTTGCGACTCCGAGGCAAAAAGGGAACCCTTGTGGCGTTGGCCTTTTTTTCTTTTATTGCTGTCGTTTTTGTGCTCTTGTTTTTTTTCTTGGGAGGGGAGAGCAACATTTCTTGTTTTTTGTCTTTGGGGGCGGAACCCCCCAAACAAATCTCACTTCCGGAGTGGATTGGCTGGAACAAGTACAACTTTCTGTCTACAACTCAATCGGTCTTCTCAAAAAGTTCAAAGTCCAGGAACTCAGGAAGTGAGGGGGGGAACCCTCCAAACAAAATCGAAAGACTGCAGGAAAGAGGCTAACATCTTCTGGGCGTTCGTTTTCTAACAAAACATGAGGGTGGCATTTTCTCGAGTGGTACTTTTTTGCTGTGGTTTCAGAGGGAAACCAAAAGGAACACAACATCCATTGTGGGGGTCCCCCGAAAAAGCACACCCCCACATCGGCAGCATGAACTCTCGGAAACGGAAGGGCTTGATGGCTCCAGGTGGCCAGTTTGGTGAGCTTGTCTTGAATTTGGCGGGCCTTGCAAGAAGGATAGTACTTGTTGCTGGCTTCGGTCATGCGGTTAACACAAACCGCTGAAACACGACCTTTTCCCACAAGCCATAAACATGGCCAGGTTTCATTTGGCCAAGACCAGACTTGCGCCAGGGCACGAACAACTTGGCCTCTCGACCCCTAACAACATCTGCCTTTCGTCAGGTTTGTTTTAAACTTGGCAACGTAAAACATCGCCATTTGGTTGGCTTGCCTGTCCCCAGTTCTTCAATAACCCACGTACAAGATTAGAAGGCAAGCAAACACAACCATCTTCAGAGGGGAACCACAAAACGAGGGAAACAAATGATGCGTGGACTTATAATTTCCCTTTCATCGAACGGCGGCCGGCCTCCTCGTTCTCTGGGGCTGCCTCGAATCACATGGGTGGACGCCTAAAGGACCCTTCAAGGCTGATGGGAATGCTTCGGTGGGTAAACTGGCTAGGCGGATTGTTTTTCCCCATCCCACCTATACATGTTTGGGTTTTTGCTCTATATATGTTCGCAAAGGATCCTGGGACTTATTTTTATTACGCACAAACCTAACTGGGTGTCTAGAGAGGCCTTCCTCAAGGTTCATTGACCCTGGCGCTGGGGGGATATATTCATCTTTTGGAACCCAAAGGCTGCCAGAGCGGGAGATGAGGCATCCAGGAGAAGCATTCTTGGTTGCTGTTGACCCCCCTGCAAAAAGTCAAGTGGCAAACCCCTTGATTTCCCAAAAAGTTAAAGTCTAAAGATCCGACCCAATAGCAGTTAAGCATTGAGGGACCAAGCTAGGATTTGGAGAAGACAGACCCGTGTGCTGCCTTGGGATTTGACCTTCTTGGGGCGTTCCCTTCGACCCAGGGACCGTGTAAAGGACCTCAGGCGAGTCATAATCAAAGCAAAGCAACTCGAAGAAGCCCAAAGCCCAAATGGCTTTCGATGCAAAGCCGTTTCTTTCGTCCAAACGGGGAAACAAGACAGTCGCTGGAGGTCTGTGGGCTAAACTCCAACTATCCGGTCCTTCAAAAGTTGCAGTTTAGAGGTGGGTTCCAACACACTGTTGGAGGTCCAAAAAAGGGGAAATTGAGGGACCCCTGCTTGACTGTGGCTCAGTCAACGAAAATCAAAAATTAAAGCAAGTGGTCCTGATCCTAGCACACACGGGGAACCCCTGGATGATGTAGACGCACGTATTTATAGCAAAAGGACTGTCCCTGGCAAGGCTTTGATTGTAGACACCCCGATTGCCAGCCTTCCACTGGCCAAGGGCTGAATACATCTTCAGATGTGGACATCTGCATCCGACCATTCACAAATCTATCTTGCTTTTAGCCCCAACCAAAAATTAGATCTTTAAACAAAATAAGCTTGCGTTGGGTCCATGTGAACCTGAACAATGATCCCAGAACCCCTCTCAGTGTCAAACTTTTAGTGGTTTAGTTGAAACTACC